AAGAAATAAACCAAATTAGCTGATCACAAAAATGAGACTTTTTGGACTGACACAAATAATGATAAATATTGCAGATACAATTTCTACATCTACTAAAGGCATCTGAAGATTGTATTGTCATTTTCACAATATTAAATCTTCCTATCCATGAACACATCATGTTTTTCAGTTTCTTTAGGTCTTTGTGTCTTGCAGAAATGTTCTGTAGGTTTTCTTCTATAGGTCTTTTGTATCTCTAGTTAAGTTCACTCCCAAGTATCTCAATTTGTGGTTGGCTTTTGTAAATGGTATTGTTTTCTTGGTTTCCTTTTCTGAGTTCTCTTTGTTATTGTAGAGGAATCCTTCATTTTTTTGGATATTGATCTTATATCCTGTCACACTCTACTAAATTGGTTTACTAGCTCTAACAGGTTTTCTGTTGAGTCTTTGGGATTTTCTATGTACACTATCATATCATCTGCATATTGTTATGTGCCGTTGAGTTGCCTGCAATCTTATGTAAAGCAGCCCTAAACTCTATCCTGTACCAATTTCACTGTCTCCAACATACCCCATTACCCCAGTCACTGAATCAATCCACCTAATAGAGTTTCTTCCTCTCTTGAGCTGTACCTCCACCCTCCCAAGCATGATGTCCTTCTCTAAGGACTGGTCCCTCCTTGCAGCATGTCCAAAGTATGTCAGACAAAGCTTCAGAATCTTTGCCTCCAAGGAGCAGCCTGGTTTAACCCTCTCTACAATGAACCTGTTAGTTTTCTTAGCAGTCCATAGTATATTCAAAACTCTTTTCCAACACCACAGCTCAATTCTTCTTCTATCCTCCCTAGTCATTGTCCAGCTCTCTGATGCATAATAAGTGATTGCAGAGGTCTGTATCAGGCGCACCTTAGTCTCCAGAGTGACACCATTGCTCTTCAGTACCCTGGAAAGGTCCCTAACAGCAGACTTTTCCATTACAATGTGTCTTTTCATTTCCTGGCTGCTGGTGCCAAGTGTGTTGACTGTGGAGCCAAGCAAACTAAAGCTATGAACAATCTCAATCTCTTCCCCGTCGTTCTTGATGCTGCCAGTTGGCCCAGTGGTGAAAATCTTTGTCTTTTTTATATTGAGCCTCAATCCATATTGAAGACTAAAGTCCTTGACCTTCTGCTGCAAGTGCTTCAGGTCCTCCTCAGTTTCAGCAAGCAGGGTTGTGACATCTGCGTAATGCAGATTGTTGATGAATCTTCTACCAATCCTGATACCACATTTCTCTTCATACAGACCAGCCTCATGAATAATCTGTTCTGCATACAGGTTGTAAAGGTATGGAGATCTCTGCCCATCTGGATGCCTTTTATTTCCTTCCCTTGTTGTATTTCCCTAGCAAGCACTTCCAGTACACTATTGAATAGAATTGACAGTGGACATCCTTGCCTGGTCCCTGTTTACAAGAAAAATGCTTTTATTCTTTCTCCATTGAGAATGATATTGGCTCTTGGTTTTGTATATATACTTTTCACTATGGTGAGGAAACTCCCTTTTATTTCCATTTTGCTGAGCATCTTAATCAGGAAGAGGTGCCTTTTCTGCATCAATTGCTAAGATCATATGGTTCTTCTTATTTATTTTGTTATTTTGGTGAATTATATTGATTGTTTTTCTTATGTTGAATCATCCTAGTACACCTGTTATGAATCCCACTTGGTCATGGTAAATTGTTTATTTTTATGTGCGTTTGGATTCCTATTGGCTAGGATTTTGTTAAAGATTTTTGCATCCATATTCATGAGAAATTTTGGTCTGTAGTTTTCTTTCTTGGTAATATCTTTGCTTGATTTTGGTATTAGGGTTATGATTGCATTATAGAATAACTCTGGGAATGTTCCTTCTTTTTTTAGTTTTTTGGATTAGTTTGAGTAGATAGATCCTGTCTGAATGTTTGGTAGAATTTAGCTGTGAAGCCATTTGTCCAGGAGTTTTCTTATGGGGAAATCTTTTTATGACCTTTTCAATTTCTTCTTTTCTGATGGGTCTGTTTAAGTGTTCTAGGAAAACAAACAGATTTGTCCTGGAAAGGGTTAAACCGGGTGGCTCCTTGGAGGCAAGGATTCTGAGGCTCCGTCTAACATACTTTGGACATGTTGTGAGGAGAGACAGGTCCTTGGAGAAGGACATCATGCTTGGGAGGGTGGAGGGACAGCGCAGGAGAGGAAGGCCCTCTATGAGGTGGATTGATTCAGTGACTGGGATAATTGGGATGGGAGTGTCAGAGACAGTGCGATTGGCACAGGACAGAGCGGAGTTTAGGGCTATTGTACATAGGGTCGCTATGAGTCGCAAGCGACTCGACGGCATATAACAACAAGAACAACAGATCTGTCCTTATCAGTCTGGGTAGAGCATGAGTTTCAAGTAATTTGCCCATTTCCTCTAGATTTTCAGATTTATCAGAGTAAAGTTTTTTTATAGTGTTCTGATATGATAGACTTAATTTCCTCTATATTGTGAAAATGACAATCCTACCAAAAACAGTCTACATATGTCTACATATACAATGCAATCCCAATACAGATGACAAATTTATTTTTCAAGGAGATGGAAAGCAAAATTGTCAAGTTTATTTGGAGACGCAAAATACCCCAGATAAGCAAAATAACTTCTGAGAGACAAAAATGAAGTGGGTGGTATAGCATTCCCTGACTTCAAAACCTACTACACACCTGTAGTAACAAAAACAGCATGGTACGTACTGGTACATTGTAAGGCACATAGATCAGTGAAACAGAATTGAGAACCCAAAAATAGAGCTAGCTATCTATGGTCAATTGATATTCAACATGGAAATAAAACATATCAAATGGGGAAATGACAACCTCTTCAACAAATGGTGCTGGCAAAATTAGACTGCTACCTGCAGAAAGCTAAAACAGGATCCATATCTCACACCATACACAAAAATAACCCCAAGTTTGATAAGAGATATGGGAGTAAATCCCAAAGCCATAGAGTTCATCAGAGACAAACTCTATCAAGCTTAGAAGCCCTAGTATACAGTATATAGTATAAAGAGACTTCCATATGCAGCCAGAAATATACAATCTGAAGAAAAAATTGATGAATAAGACCTTCTAAAGACTAAATCCCAGTGTTGGACCGGAATGTAGTAGTCAGAACAGAGCAAGGAAACACTGCATGTTTCAAAGTTGGGAAGGATGTACACCAGGAAATATGTCTTATCTCCATACCTTTTCAATCTATATACAGAACAAATCATTCGGGAGGCTGGGCTCTATGAGGAGGATATCAAGATTGGAGGAAGACTCATCAACAACCTGAGTTCTGCAGCTGATTTGTTGAAACTGAGGCGGACCTGAAACACTTGCTGCAGATGGTCAAGGACTGCAGCCTTCAATATGGATTGAAGCTCAACATCAAGGAAAAAAAAAGAGATTCTCACTGGGCCAATTGGCAACATCATAACAGATAGTGAAGAGATTGAGATTGCTAACAGCTTTAGTTCTCTTGGCTCCGCAATCAGCACTATTGGTACCAGTAACCAGGAGATCAAAACAACAACCTATGATATGTAGATGTTACAGTTTTGCTTGCTTAAACTGAAGATGACCTGAGGTGCTTGCTGCAGAAGGTCAAGGACTGTAGACTTCAATATGGATTGAAGCTCAACATCAAGAATACAAAGATACTCACCACTGGTGCAATTGGCAGCATCATGATAGATGGAGAAGAGATTGAGGTTGTTAGCAATTACAACTTTCTCAGTTCCACAGTCAATGCTCTTAACACCAGCAGTCAGGAAATCAAAAGATGAATTTCATTGGGTATATCTGCTGTCAGGGATCTCCACTGTGCTGAAAAGCAAGATGTTTAACTAGAGACAAAGGACCACCTAGCCTTGAACCATAGACTGCCAAGAAAACAAATAGTTCAGTGTTGGAGAGGGTTCTCCCCTTGGAGGCTAGGTGTTTGAAGCTCCATCTCACATACTTTGGGCATGTGGCCAGGAGAGACCAGTCCTTGGAGAAGGACATCATTCTTGGAAGAGTGAAAGGATAGTGCAGGAAAGGAAGACTCAGTGTGAGATGAATTGCTACAGTGACTGGGCAATGGAGGTTGGTGTGTCAGATTTAGTGAGAATGACTCAGGGAAGGGTTCAGAGCTGCTGTACATAAGGTCGCTATAGGTCACAGGTGACTCAGTGGCATACAACAACACCAACAACATACTATATTGGTTGTTTTTTATTTAAGAATCTTGTTTAGAGTCAACAAACCTCAAGGGGAGCTTTGTATTTAAAAGTCAGTTGTTAATATATTTTGGAGGAACATTCTTCTGAGTCTTACAGCATTCTTCTGTCAATATGCTGTACTGAGGCAACCTGGGGTTGCTGTAATGCTGAACCTTGTGCCGTTGGGGTGTCAAATGGCAAAAGTTACACATGGTGGACAGTGCTTGGTGGAGGTTTGGAAGCAGGAGTGGCATCCATTTCCTAAATAACACGCTTCTGGAAACTCTGAGCTTTGAGAAACAATAGTTATCGAAAAGCTTCGAGTCTTTTCTTCATAGAGTCACTATGAGTTATGTTTGGCTTTATGGCTGTCAAGAATAATAACAACAGCAGAATACAATCATTTGGTCAGGACAGCTTCTGAAATTTGCTCACAAGTGTCTCAGCCTTCAGCCTCATGGCTTTGGGCAAGTGTTACAAAGCTCTTAGTCTTGCCAATTACAACTCCTGTCCCCATACCTCCAAGTCTTCCAACAAACTATGCAAAAAGCTCTTAGCTCTGGTTCCGTGGCATAACAGTCCCAATGTCAGCTCTGTCCTGTGTCAGGTCTCTGGATCTCTGCTGCTGGCCGCTATGACTACTGCTCCCATAGGCCCTGGGATCTCTGTGCCCCTGAAGCATGTGCTGCATTCTCTTGTTTCTTCTTTGTGGTGAGATTCTGAAAATTTGCCTTTGGATCTGCACAATTTAGTGATATGACTAGCCAATTACCTTGTGGGTAGGCCATCATGTCCTATTTTCCCACTCATCTACATGGTAAAGTCAAACTCAATGATGAGGAAAGACATTTTGAACAATAAACCCTTAACACCACAAGGGTTTCCCTTTTTTTACAGATGTTCTTCTTTACCAGTTACAATGTTTTTATCCAAAGACTGATCACTATATGTCCAAAGTATTTGAGATGGAATTTTGCATCTTTGCTTCAAAAGATCATTCTGGTTGTACAGATTTGTTTGATTTCCTGGAAGTCCACAGTCCATTCAATATTTCAACACCATAATTCATTGACATGACTTTTTCTTTGGTCTTTTTTATTCACCACCTAGTTTTCACAGGCAAATGAAAATATAAAATGGCTTGGATCCATTTTCAAAATGCCATGTTTGCATTTTAACATTTTAAAGAAAATCTTTGCAGATGATTTGGCCAAGGCAATTTAATTTTTTATTTCTTGGCTGGTGTGTCCATGAATGCTGATTTTAGGGAAAAAAATCCTTTACACTGTTAATCTTTTTTTTCCAGTTTATTATTATTTTAGTTACTGATTCAGCTGTATGGATCTTTATTTTTTTTTCAAATTGAGATGCAATCTGTTTTCAATTCTGTTTACTTTTCAACAAGCAAAATTATGTCATCTCAATATTGCGAGTTGTCTTCCTCCAATCTTGCTGCTGAGGTGTTGAATTACTTGCTCAATATATAGATTAAATGAGTATGAGGAAAGAAAATTACCCTGAATGCATCTTTACTGACTTTATAACATGCAGCATCTCCTTGTTCTGTTTGAAGGACTGCCTATTTGAGTGCCCTGGTCTGTTTAAATTATTGCTGATATTCTAGAAACTAAGTTGTCTAAAATGTCCATTTACTGTACATGTTTTTGTTATCTCAGTGATTATTAATCATTTATCTCTCAATAAAAGGCTAATAAGTAGTTGTACCCATTTTGTTTATGTGTACCATGGAATTGAAACCAAACAGCAAGTTATCAGAGGTTGTTAATCACACAGGAGGAGATTGCTCATCCTTCTCTCACATAAGAGTATGTTGTTATTGTTATGTGCCGTCGAGTCGCCTGCGACTCATAGCGACCCTATGTACAACAGCCCTAAACTCCGCTCTGTCCTGTGCCAATCGCACTGTCTCTGACACTCCCATCCCAATTATCCCAGTCACTGAATCAATCCACCTCATAGAGGGCCTTCCTCTCCTGCGCCGTCCCTCCACCCTCCCAAGCATGCTGTCCCTCTCCAAGGACCAGTCTCTCCTCACTACAGTCCAAAGTAAGTTAGACGGAGCCTCAGAATCCTTGCCTCCAAGGAGCCACCCGGTTTAATATTATTTAAAATAACATTTACAACACAATGACAAAGTCATGCATTTATCATCAGCATGCAGTATAGGAAAAAAACCATCAGGTGGCACCAGAGTATTTTAAGTAAGTATTTTTAACCCTATGCTACAAACCCATGTTAAGGTCCCAAATCTCAAATCAAATCCATTGCCCTTGTGTACATTCCAACCCACAGTGACCTTATAGGACAGAATGGTACTACTTCACATGGTGTCTAAGGTTATAAATCTGTACAGAAAGAAACTGTCACATCTTTCTCCCTTGGAGAAAGTAGTGAGTTCAAACTGCCACGTGCTTAAGGTTAAAACTATTTTACCACCATGCTCTTCAATGACAGAATATTTCTTTTTAAAAAAATTGCAATTTAAATGTAAATAACTTAAAATAATAATTTCTTTTTGCTTTATATGTTTTCCTAGGTGTTAGTAAATTACCAACTATGAAGGCACATTTAGGAAACAAAACAAAATGTAAAAACAGAATTGATAGGCAGGTAATAAATGAAGAGTCAAAGAAAGAAATGGATGGATCATAAAGAATATTCTCTATGTGGATTCAAATGGCTAATTTTTATATGCACACAGATACACACACATATGTCTGTATGTGTGTTCAGGTAATTACATGTAAATTCATGTATTAGAAAGAATTACATATCATTTTATATAGGTTTATATAGGTTTCAACATGTATGCAGAGCAGATTATCCGAGAGGCTGGGCTCTCTGAGGAGAATTGTGGCATCAGGATTGGTGGAAGATCTATTAACAATCTGCGTTATGCAGATGACACAACCCTGCTTGCTGAAACTGAGGAGGACCTCATGCACTTGCTGTGAAGGGTCAAGGACTGCAGCCTTCAGTATGGACTGAGGCTCAATGTCAAGAAGACAAAGATTCTCACCACTGGACCAATTGTCAGTGCCAGGATGGATGACGAAGAGATTGAGAGTGTTCACAGCTTCAGTTTGCTCGGCTCCACAGTCAACACTCTTGGCACCAGCAGTCAGGAAATCAAAAAGCGTATAGCGATGGGTAAGTCTGCTGTTAGGGACCTCTCTAAAGTACTCAGGAGCAACAGTGTCTCTCTGGAGACTAAGGTGCGCTTGATACAGGCCATGGTCTTTGCAATCGCTTGTTATGCATCAGAGAGTTGGACAATGACTAGGGAGGACAGAAGGAGAGTGGATGCTTTTGAGCTGTGGTGCTGGAGAAGGGTACTGAATGTACCATGGACTGCCAGGAAAACAAACAGATTCATCTTGGAGAGGATTAAACCAAGCTACTCCTTGGAGGCAAGGATTCTGGGGCTTCGTCTGACATACTTTGGACATGTTGCCAGGAGGGACGGGTCCTTGGAGAGGGACATCATGCTTGGGAGGGTGGAGGGACAGCACAGGAGGGGAAGACCCTCTATGAGATGGATTGATTCGGTGACTGGGGTAATCGGGATGGGTGTGTCAGAGGCGGTGCAGTTGGCTCAGGATAGAGCAGGGTTTAGGACTGTTGTGCATAGGGTTGCTATGAGTCGGAAACGACTCGAAGGCACATAACAACAACAACAACAACAACAACAACAAACAATCATTTTATATGTAATTAATATATTATTGTATGAAATAAATATGTGCAAAATACAAAATAATATATACATAGAATATTATGCGTTACTTAAATCAAAATGTATTATTTATATTTATAATATAGCTATAATTTTAAATTTATAATTAATACACACAAGAAATGCTATCATATGTAATAGCACCTTATATACAATTTAAAGAACTGGTAGCATAGCGTGGATTGTGTTGGACTGCTAACCGAAAGGATCAGCGTTGTAAATTCATCAGCTGCTCTTCAAGAGAAAGATAAGCAGTCTTCCCTGAGGGTTGACAGCCTCAGAAACTAGATGGAAGGTTGCCATGAGTTGGAATCAACTCAGTGGCAGTGTACTTTGATTCTGGTTTAGATATATAATTTATGTGTAGTTGTAGACTATATCTAAAATATACATAATTATACACAATTTATGTTATATATCATATCCCACTGTTGTTGCTGTTATTAGATACCATCCAGGCAAGAATGGCCCAGAGTGATCCCATGAACTATATATATATATACTACATGTATATGATATATAATACTGTAAACTATACAGTATTGTGTAATACTAATTGTTGTTGATATGTGCATCTACTCACCTGAGAGTCATAGCTACCCTATGTAGAATAGCTTTGAAAACTGCCCTATCTGGAGTCAGTTACTGTGTCAAACCATCTCATTTAGGATCTTCCTCTCCTGCACTGCCCCTCCACCCGTCCAAGTATGATGTCTTTCTTCAAGGACTGGTTCCCTCCTGGCCACATGCCCAAATTATGTGAGAAGGAGCTTCAAAATCCTTGCCTCCAAGGAGCACTTGGTTTTGCCCTCTATAAGACAGAGCAGTTTGGTCTCTTGACAGTGCATGATATGTTCAACACTCTTCTCCAGCACCACAACTCAAAGACATCGATTCTTCTTCTATTATCCTTAGTCATTGTCCAGCCCTCTGATTTATATTATAGAGTAAAATACTTAAGCAGTAGGCATTTCCTTCAGAAGCTGCAAGCTGGCCTATTTCGTATCTCATTCCTTCCCCCTCCCCGCTTCCTGCTTCCTGTCTTTGCAAACTCCATGCTGAAAGAGCATTTTTTAGGAAGCATTTTCTGGCATCTTTCACAGGTAAAACTTCTCAGTTGTTCTAATATTTGTGCATTATTTTTGTACATTTCCATTATTTCCTTTTTCAATTTTACATCACTATCTCTCTCCTTGTCAATATTCTTATTTGTTCTCCTGCCTATCATGAAGAAACTGTACCTTCTCTCATGTTGGATTTCCAGAGCCTGGAATATGATGAGACTTTTAAAAATTCTTGGTTAATGAATGTCAGGTATGTTATGTTGAAAGGATAGTCGGGGGGGGGGGATGTTCTGAATAAGGTGACATTAGTTATATTCAGTCAATAATATTGAGTATTACTTTTTATTAACATAATGTTGTTGTATATCATAGAGAGAGTTGGAACTGACTCACAGTGGACCCTCCAGTGGGTTTTCAGAGGCAGTTAATCTCACAAGAGGAGACTGCTCATCATTCTCCTACAAAGCAGCTGGTGGATTTGAACCATCTGCTTTGTGATTACAGTGCAATTTCTTGCCACTAGGCTAGTATGTTAATTATTAACATAATGTTTATGTTTGTAATAGTTACAAACATAAATATTCTTGTTGCATGGTTTTTTCCCTATTTCTTGGAGTTATATGTGGAGGAAACTAGTAGATAGGAAAATTAGAGCAATAACAAATATTAGGCATATTCCAAGAGTTATAAAACTCCCCCATAGGACCATTCAGTGTAGCTGTAAACCAGATCAATTAAAAACAGACTCAATACCAATCCTTCCATATGCTGGTTGGCACCATTCACCAGCTAGGAGTTTAGATTTTTTTTTTTTTAAATTAAAACTGTTTACAAATTTTCTGTCTTATTTTGAAATAATGCAGTGATGTTAAAGATGAGCCAAGAAGGTTTAATTTTTAGCAACCAAATGCTCAGCTAAATAGAAAGACAGTGTCTTGGAGCTATGTAGTTTAATGAATCCATTGTG